TCTTTCAAGTTTGTTAACCCACCCTGATCAGGTTTTACCCTTACCACTACACTAAGAATGCTTCTGTTAAAGTCATTGACGATGTCCACATTTCTAAATTCAGGTTGATTATCAGTACTGATTTTGACACAACAGTAACAGTTGGCACAGTTCCTCCTTGAAACCTTTTTATCCCTTATTCTCTAGTACTGCCTTTGTGGGTTTTGTTTGTTTTTTAGCATCATTGGCTTTAGTATTGAGGCTCTTGTTTCATTTTCATCTTGGTGACCTTTTAATGTTGGAATGCCACAAAGGAAAAAACACTTGAGACCTCTTCACTATCTGCAGTCTCGTCACCCAGTCTTTTATCTTCAAATACCATGCTGCAGATGAACAAGGTAATTTTTCAGACCAGGTCTTTTTCCATATATATACACACATAAACATTACATACAGATTGTTTACTTGGCCTCTCCATGTGGATGTCTAATAGGCATCTTAAATTTAACACGTCCAGTTCTGAATTTGTGAACATCAGTCCTCACGTCCACAATCATCATTCCCACTGTTTTCAATAATACCAGTTTATAAGAATGCCATCCTTGCAGTAGTTAAGGCCAAAACTCTTGGGGTCTTTATTAACTTTTTTAACATTCCATATCCAATACATGAATAAATCATGTTTATTAAATAAATTAAGGTTTGCTCTACCTTCAAAATATACCCAGAATCTCACTAGAAAATACAATTCCTTGGTCCTAAACCATCATTATCTAACTATGATTATTAATCCCTCAGCTGATCTCTCTGTCTACCATATGTTCTCAACACAGCAGGCAAAGTGATCTTCAATACGTAAATCAGAAATGACATTCCTTTGCTTAAAACCCACCAACACTTCCCCATTTTACAAAAAATCTGGATAATTAACAAAAAAGCCCCTTTCTCCATTTGTACTATTCTCCACTTTGCTGCCACACACCTTCACTGACTGGATTTCCTCCATCTTCCACAGGCATTATTCCTGTTTCACGGCTTTGTCCTTCCCGGGCTTCCTCAAAGATCGGCATGACTCACTCATATTTTTCTAGTCTTTGCTCCAGTGTTACCTTTTCAATGAGGTCTTCCCTGTCCATAATTTCACACCCTATTTCACCTTCATCGCTTTTTATCTTTCCTATCTTTTTTTTTCACCTTTGTACTTATTACCATCTAATATGTATTAATTTAGTTATTTTGTCTGGAATATCTTCTCCCACTAAAATGTAAGCTCCATGAGGACAAGTTTTGTTTGTTGAGGTATCTCAGCACCTGCAATGGTACCTACCTAGCACATAGTTGATATTCAATAAATACTTGTTAAATGAATAAGTAACGGACCAGTTAATCAAGTGCCTAGAACAGAGTAGTCTCAAATGGCTCCAAGTGACTCTTGATGGAGACAGAGAATGAGAATTGGAGATGGTGGAATGTCTTTTGCAAAAGGACTCTGAGCTATATTTTGTCATCACCACCAAAATTTTGATAATTTTTTGATAGGTCTTTTTGTTTCCCACTAGAGCATGATGTTTTTGCTAAAAGGACATCTCCTATCCTAGAATTTGAAGGCTGTTATTTCACAACATTTCAATCAAGATGAATCTGAATGAAGAAAGAAAACAGATACAGATCAATAAAACCAGATAAGTCCTCCTTTTATTTAAAAAAAAAAATAGTCCCTTAGCGTCCACAATACCGTAATCATCATTGTTAAAAACTATTCATTTTCTTTTGTTCCCGTTTTTTTTCTTTTCTTTCCGATTGTAGAAGCCATGGATGCTCAACACAATTAAAATAATTGACAGAAAATGTGTTTATATATCCAAGGCTATTTTTTAGTGGTGCAGAGACTGTCAGAATGCTATTCTGTAACCACTTCCTCAAAAATGCTCAAACAGATCAGGAACCTTGCTCTTTTAACGAATAACATTTGCTGTTCAATAAAACAGACCCTAATAGGTCATTGGAAATTTATTTTCAAATCAAAAATATACATGCAAATTATATGTACATTTACTACACTTAAATATTTCCCATTGTAGCAGTTTGTCCCTTTCCTCTAGGGTGGTTGGTAGAATTCAAATCTCTACTTTTCTTCATTATGTAGAAAGTAAAGAAAATAGACAAGAGAAAGGGTTATAAGAAGGCATCTCATATCAGGATGAGGCTAATAATAATAGATAATATTAATGAGGTAGGTACCACACTAAGCTCTTTACATGTATTCATTTACTTCTAATGACAACATTGTAAGGCAGATATATTGCTCCTTTATCTATCTATCTATCTATCTATCTATCTATCTATCTATCTATCTATCTATCATCTATCTATCATCTATTTATTTTTACAAATGAGGAAACCAAGGCCTAAAAATATGCCCAAAGTCAAACATGGAAGTGATGGAGCCAGGATTTCAATCCAAGTAATTTGACTTTTGAGTTCATTTCCTGAACCTTCTAGACTTGTCTCATAGGGTTGTATATAGAATTAAATAATATAACATATGTAAGAGGCTTAGTATATCTTTTGGAAGAATAAACTTGCATATTAGCTGTTACAATTATAAACCCTGGAATTCATTTCTTTCTCTCCTTCCATCAGAAACTTTAAGGGGAAATTTCTAAAAGGCCTATTATATAAAGCTTAAAGGATAGAAAAGGACTACTTACTAAAAGCTTA